AAACTTGATAAAACGTGTCTTCCCTATTTACATTTTCTCCACCGTGCACGCGTTTATACATACACACGCCTACCGCTTACCACAAGTACAAAAATGACACTTTTCCCAGACACTTCTCGTATTTTGCGCAGTTGCAGACAGTTGATCTGTGTGCGCTAGACCAAATATGCCATTTTAAGTTGTTAAAGTGCAGTAAAAAGTGCAATGCAAGCGCTTTTTTACTGCATTTTGCCGTCAAACGAAAGTCTACTTTCCCGTGTAAACAGCGAGAACGTCCTTTTTGCAGATTTGCAGAAATCACTTTCGCAAATAAAAATTGCAAGGTGTAACTGCAACTGAAATTACCCAAATCGCTTTCGAGAAATAATAAAATTTTATAAATGTTGCGTCACACAAAAAAAAAAATACTTGGAATTAATTCTCCTAATGTAAACTATTTAAATATTAAAGCTTTGGACATTTTGCTGATTTGTGCGTATTTTAGCATTTTTAACAAATCCCTCAGGTCAGTAATTTTGTTATAAGCATAAAAATGTCTGGTAACATAGTTGAAAGTGGTATTGTCTGCATTCGCCGTGTAAACAGACAAAAAGTGTTATCGGAAAGTTTGATTTTCTGAAATGAAAACTGCTTTCGAAAGCCACATTACATGCAAGGTGTAACTGCTCCTGCAATCTCTTTTGGTAATTTTTGAGTTTGACAGACTTTTGAAAAGGACTTCCACTTGCCACGTCTAACATCCATTTTACTTTTGAATACAATTAAGTTTTTAACAACTCCTTGTAGCTCCTTTTCCTCATTATGTATATTTTTTTATTTTTTACCAAAATCACTGGAAAAAGTTACCAAATTCAACAAAAAATTACCACACTTATTTTATGTGCAGAACTGTACAAATATACATATCGATGCCTTTCTGCATCAAAAAGAAAATTTTGAAAAAAATGTCGCTTACGTTATTTTGGCAGTTAGGGCTCGATATGTCTGTACATATGTATATCCGAGGATACCTAGCTTTTCAGGCAATCAGCGCTCCATTAACCTCAAATTTTTTTGAGAGTTTGTTGAATTTTTTAAATATTGAACAAAGTTTGAAATTTGAATTTTTTTGAGTTCTGTTAAAGAAAGAACAATATTTTTATAAAAAATAACCAAAATTAAATTACAAAAAAATAACATGTTAAAACTTATCAAAATATGGTGCGGTTATAATTTTTTCGACCACTGTATGTAAACAAGTGACAAAAAAATATATCAAAAATTCAACGCTTGAAGGAAAGCTTTCGACTCACACATAGACAGAGTGAAGTCCCCCGCTGAATGCCGTAGGTTTTTAACGAGAACGTACATATTTGAGTAGAATTCTACTGATATACAGTATATTTTGCTTTGCTGCCTCTATGCTTAAGTGCACATTTAAGATACCTACCCCAAAATGCGCATCAAAAGCATTATTTTTAACATTTATAAGGAAACTGCTCCGATAGATGCATTCAACATACCTGCACATTGGCGATACCTGCCTTAAAAATAGTGCGACTAGTATCAATTATCAATGAAAGTATTACGTTTACCTGCACTGGCCCTACAATTACCTAATTTTACAACTTTTTGATTATTTTGTTCATCTCGCAGAACAAAGAAAATGGCTATCAATTTATGTAGTTATATAGATAATTAGATAACATTCGGTAAAAATTTCGCTTGCAGTAATTTCTACATGGTAAGTGCTCCGCCAATATTTGTTTTCATAGGGATTCGGATACCTTCCTCATTGAAGTAGTAAAGAAAATTCGCTTAAGTGCCTTTTTCGTTACGTGCACAAGTTTTTCGTGCAAAGAAGGATGTGCAGCTAAGCAAAATATACTGTATATGGTTGACGGGTACACCGGAAAATTGATGGTAATTGAAAAGCTGACGAGCTGACAGGGAAAGGTAGGGCCACCCAAAACCTTCCAGGAAAGGACACGGTGGATATACTTAGCAATAGCCACTTTCAAGCGGTTTGTTAAAGAACAAACCATCCTAGTAGACAAGGAACGCGGAGCAACTTTCGCCTTGCGAAACTTTCAGGATTACCTGGTATTTCTATAAAAGGAAACGCTTACGGGCCACTTACTAATGTGGAATTAGAACCAATATTGACCTATTTGACATGTAAGACCGAATCGAAAAAGTTACCAAATTGAAAAATAAATTACCAAATTACCAAACTTCATAAATAAAGAAAAAAATTACCAATTTTGGTTAAAAATTACCAAAGCGGTAACGCTGAGTAACGTATACAAAAAGTAGACATTCAACATTAAGCATTCACTTCGTTTTCATATACAAACAAACATACATACAAATGTAAAGAATTTTTAGGATGAGTTTTGAACATTTTCTAGGATTACCTTCTTACGCAAGTTCACCAAACGGCTAATATGAGCGCTTGTCTTAATAGTCGCGGCGATGTGTTCACTTTGGCAGCTTAATTGTGTGTGATTTTGATTCTTGCTGTTGTTAGCTGGTTCCTCTTTCATACCACCATGTTTATTAGTTTCAATCATATCTGCTTTCATATGTTCCAAGCGTTTCTATTGAGCGGGGATAATATTAATTTCATAATAGTTTAATTTCATGATTTAAGGATAGGTACCTTTCTAAGCCTTTCCATTCGTTTTGATGCACTTGAGCTCTGTGGTGTGCTAATTTCGTTTGTATTGGATGTGCTGTCAGTGTTACTTTCTTCTTGTTTATGACGAGAATTTGCAGTCGACGAAGATACAGCGCTCTTGTTAGAGGTGCTGTTCTCATAATCCTCCAAAACAGTTTTTTGCTTTTATTAAACCAAAATAAATTACAAAGAAATCTTAAAGGCAGATTCATTTGCGTAAATTTACAACAATAAAATTTATAGACCTTAAAACTGACAAAATTTAACTCATGGATTTCAGACTTTAATTTACCAAGATAGTTTTGAGCAGAGCTGAGCACTTTATGATTACGATTACATTTAACTTACGATTGCTTAATTGTAATTCATTATTGTAAATCATACACGATTACGATTACTTTAATTGTAATCATAAATGTTACCATTACGATTATAATAATTGTAATCTTAAAGATTCAAGGAATAAGATTACTGTAATCGTAGTTACCAAATACATAATTACGAAAACTGTAATTGTAATCCTAAAAGTTTTAAGACTACAATTACAGTAATTGTAATCATGAAAATTACAATTACGAACACTTAGATTGTAATCTTAAAAATATTATGATTACGATTAATGTATTAGTAATTAAGAAAATGTTGATTTCCATTTAATCATATTCTGTAGAGGTTTAGTAGTTAAGTAACTTATCGGAACTTTCACCGAAAATTATGTAAAATTTAGTTAAGGTGGAAGTAGTAATATAAATCAGAATCATTTTATTGAATGTACTCCGACGACGATTCTGTGTAGAATATTCCATTATTATTATTATTATTGTATGTCTAAACTCTTTTTCTAATTACCGATTTGGGAGTTAAGCTCGAAAATGAGGATAATCCACTTTTATGTAAGCATAGTATTACTTACCATTTGTTTTTCTATGTCCGAGTCTATAGCAGTGCTCGCATTAGAGCTTAAATCTATGAGATTATTTTTCGTATGACACACGTTCTCAATGCTCAACGCCTTCTGTGTTTTGGCTACATTTGGCTCATAAGACTGTTTCTTGTTCATCTATTAAGGAAATCAATTGAAATTTTTTATGATTGATTTTTTTTTATTCAGTCAAATTTTACCTGCTTCCGCTTTTCCAGTAACCTTAATTTCCTAGACGAAATACACGTATTCATTGAAGCCATCGATTGTACCCCACTTAGGAGCTCAGCATTCTCTTGTGCTTCTTTATTTGCTAATCTTATTTCTTTTTCGGACTCAGTACTCATATCAAAATCAACACTGCTTGGCTTTGGTGGTAATTCTCTTCGGTCGTATTTATTTTTTCTTGATTTGGTCAATGCCCCTGCCATGCCAAGTTTTTGTTCATTTATTTCATCGCAGACAGACTCTACATCATCAATAAGTTTTTCCCTCAAATCAAAGTTATTTTCCGCTTCAATTAAAGGTTTATGGGATTCACCGCTTGAGTCGAAATCAAATTGTCTTAGCTTTTCTGGGCTTTCTTTCTTCGTCAGGTTTGCTTTTTTCGCTAATTCCCCGGCTTCATCGAATTCTTGTTTTCGAATTTCAAAATTAATGTTCGATACTGAATCGTCAAATGTAATACTGCCCAGTAACATATCGGCTTCGATGTCCGGCGATTCCTGAAATGTCGCTAGTTCATTTCGTGCACACCAATCCTCCACTTTTTTCTTTGCATAGTCATTTCTTTCTACGCTAACCAATTGCTGTATTTTTTTATCGTCACGATCGCTACGGGCACACAAGAAGGCTCTGTTTACACTGAATTTACTATTGCCACTATTTGTCATCCATGGCAAAATTTTTGTGGCTTTCAAATTGAGACACTTGCTGCGGAAATCTTCCTTAGCGTCCATTGCCAAACACATACCAATAAGGAAATCACGGACGTTGTATTTATCTCCCAAATGCGTAGTCACAATTACATCGCCCCATATGTGGTCCTTGGTTTTGAATTTCTCAATAAACACTACAGATTCAGACTCGTTTAGCAGTTTGTCGAATAGATCGCATGCGCGTTGGCTCCAAAGTTCTTTGGCATTTGTTACAGCAGAATTCATTCGAAAATCAAAATCCTGTTCAGCTGGAGAAAGATCACACAGTCCCCCACGTCGTATGCGATCAACTTTATTACACAACTTATCCGGTAAACGAAAGATAAAGTCCGATTTGGTTTGAAAGGGAAAACCATAATCAATTGCCCACAATATAAATTCACCTTCCTGATTATTTTTACTGAAGTTTGCAATATGTTCAACACGTGCTCGTATCATTTTTTGCCAGGCTAGGAATTTTGCAGCTACCAGCATTTTAACTTCTGGCTTGCGCACGTTCTGGGTCCACGGTTGATGAGTTTTGTAGTATTGCTCGAGTTGATCTTCCAGCTCCATAATTTGATGGAAGTCCGCATTGGGAACAGTATTTTCATGAAACCAGAACAATTGTGGGTTTATGAAATGTGTTACAGAAATGTGTTTTTCCCTATCCGAATCCATTGCGAATCGTAAGCAACCAACCTCCGGGACGCCACAAAAAAGAAAAGTTGGCGTAACGCCGGAGAAATGCTAGAAATTTGAGCACTTATTCACACACTGCTCTTTTTGTTAGAGAATATTTATTTCAAAATGCCGTTAATTAGAGTCGAAGGTAAATACACCTGATCAACAGCTTCTAAACAGCGTCAGAAAAAGAATTAAGCGATTGCTTGGGATGGTTAATCCACATATGTTTCGATAAAGACGACCTATCGATATATAGATGAATCAGTGATGGAAAGTAGGCACAATAGTTCCATTTTTGGCACTTTCTTCACAGAAGCACTTTTGGCACAATTCATCCTGTTTTGGCACAATCATAAAATACAGAAATTTGAAATAAAAGGAAACTATATAACAAAAAAGAACATACCACATTATAGATTAGGAAAATACAAAATGTGAAAATTAAAAGCACTAAAAATTAAAATAATAGCCGTGAAAAACATTTACAAACCGCTGAATTCTATTGTGAATACGCAGTACGACAAGTAAGATTCCGTAACAACAAGCTTTTAATTAGGAATTTTTAGAAAGATTCTAAGTTTGCAGTTTTATAGTCCATTAAATACCATTGCAAGATTTTTCAATATCCCGATGATTTTTGATATTTTTTTTTCTGACGGTG